AAAAAACAGAATCACATTAGAAAAAAATGGAATCACATTAGAAAAAACAGAATTACATTAGAAAAAAACGGAATCACATTAGAAAAAAACAGAATCACATTAGAAAAAAAAACGGAATCACATTAGAAAAAACGGAATCACATTAGAAAAAACGGAATTACATTAAACCAAACAGGAATCTTTTTTTTTTTTTTTTACTTTATTAATAGCATAAAACCAAACAAGAGAACAATATACAGTACACACAAAACGGAGATGTGTGTACTGTATATTTAAAAAAAGTTAAGTCAGGTCCTCTCAAACAACAACAACAAAAATAAAAAATTGTAGAAACGTTTCGTCTTTCATCCAAAATACTTCTTCAGTCTGAGGAGCTGTAATAAACTCAGTCTTATAAATAACACCTTCTCATAATGAATCAACCAGTTTGTTGTTGACATTCAAACCCAGCCGTTCACATGATCAAGGAGGACCATCAGCCTAATGATGGATTGTTAGCACCCTGATGTCTGCTTACTATTCACAGGAGGCTGAGTGATACTAACAATAACAGCATTATAAGAGGGGGACAGTTGAACATGGAGGCCTCCAGAGGACCTGACTTTACTTTTTTAGATTTTTCTACCTGGATTATTGAGCATGCATCAGGATGCACTGTATATTGTTCTGTTGTTCGGTTTTATGCTGTTAATAAAGTTAAAAAAAAAAATCCCGTTTTGCTTAATGTAATTCTGTTTTTTCAAATGTCATTCCGTTTTTTTCAAATATATTTCTGTTTTTCTATTGTGATTCTGGCCGCTTCCACTTGGGCCACTTCTGCTTTGGCTTAATGTAATTCCCTTTTTTTAAATTTTGTTAATTTACATCTTAGGGCCACCGTAATCTGCAACCTTTTAGATCAAAAGAGCCATTTCTGCCCCTTTATTTATTCAATTAAAAAAGAGCCTAGAGCCACGAAACCTGCTACAACTGTAATGATCAAGTGGCGGCCCATGGGCCACTTTGCGTTAGTTGGAAGAGACTTTTCTGACCAGTGTGGCATTTTAAAACTAACAATCAATAATGAATTTCAACATTTTTTCATATTTTTTACATTTTGGGACAAAAAATAACTATCCTGTAAATAAGTAAAAACTTCTAGTTTCTACCTTTAGATGAAAATGAAAACACTGAGCTCTGCAGGCCTATGTGACCTTCTATGTGTCACTGCACCAGCCAGAGCCTGAAAGCTCTACAGAGGATGGTGCAAACTGCAGAGGACGTCACTGGTAGCAGTCTCCACACCATCCAGAACATCTACCACCGCCGATGTCTGCGTAAAGCGTCATTACAGCACAAGGACTCTTCCATCTGTTACCCACAGGCAGACGATGCAGGAGTCTGCCATCGCGTACAAGACTAAAGGACAGCCATTACTCACAAGCTGTCAGATTAACGAACTCTCAGTAAATAACACTGAACAACTGGCATTGGACTGGATGCAGTGTTTCTTAAAAATAATTATTTTTGAAGTAATTTAACTTGGATCTTAGATTAAACTGAAACTGAATGTTCAGTTAGTACAGACATGTACTGATTGTACGGGTACATTTTGCTACAGGTTGGAATCTATTTATTTGACAAAAAATTGTATTTTGTTCTACTATAAGCATGTGATTGCTACTTATTTTAGGGCAACAAAATGAACGAACCTGTGAGCATCAAAACAAGTCATTTATACAGACTTAGAGATGTAAATGTGACATTTAGAAGACGGGTCACTGCTTTAATTTTAGAACTCGGGCACCTGTCTCTGCCTGTAGCAGCGTGGCCTCAGCCAAGTTTTAGCTTCAAAGTTTGTGAGTAAATAAATGCAGTCTTGATTTAATCAGAAATGAATAATATGCAGGGCAGCGGTTGTGCGTCTCCTGTTAAAGAGCTGCAGAAGGTTTTGTACGGCGGGAAAAGATTTGGGTACCATCTGGATGAAGTGTGGCCTAACCTCTTCATTGGGGACATGTGAGTGTTAATTAGCTCCGGGCTAATTTAAGCTTTAAAATCAGCTGTAAATGTATTTGCCTTTTGTTGTTCCTTTGCAGGTCAGCTGCCAGTGATCGCTACAGTCTCTGGAAGCTGGGAATTACTCATGTTGTGAACGCAGCTCACGGGAGGATGCACTGTCAGGGGAGTCGTGACTTCTACGGGCCCTCTGTGGATTATTACGGAGTCCCTGCAGACGACTCGCCGACCTTTGATCTTTCCGGTTATTTCGTCCCGGCTGCAGACTATATTCGGAACGCACTCGACGCAGGCGGTGGTAAATCCTCACTGTCAGCTTTTACACAAGTCAATCATCAAAATGCTGCATGCGTTCACTGCATCTCCTCCTTCTTCAGCTCGAGTTTTGGTTCACTGCGCAGTCGGAGTGAGCAGGTCGGCCTCTCTCGTCCTGGCCTACCTGATGATCCACCACCGCTTCACCCTCGTAGAGGCGATCGGGAAGGTCAAAGAGCACAGGTGGATTTTCCCAAACAGCGGTTTCCTCAGACAGCTTTGTGCTTTGGACGTGAAACTGCACAAGACTTCAGCTACGTGAGCAGAGTGCAACCTGAGAAGGAGTTTTCCTGATGATAAATAAAGCACGGTGGAGGGAGACGCCGGACTTTGACTGCACAAGTGTTTCCTCTCTGATGCTGTTTGATGAGAATCATGCAGCGTGTTTGCACCTTCATGTTGTCAGGGGACGTCCAAAAGGAGATCAGAGTGCTGAAAATTCAACCCTATCATCTAAAAGGCTTATTTCAGTTCATAATAAATGTGGAAACACTCATTTAAAGGTCAAGTCATTCACACTATTGTGATCCATTTTTCTTCTGTGTAGTTTTCGACACGATTCTCGTCCCGATGTTTTCAAGCTATTTTAACAAATCGTACATTAAAACGTTCAGCTCTTTCAGGAGATGCGTGCTATGACTTTTGGTATTGGTGCAACTTTAGCTTTTTGAAATATTTAGCCTTTTCTGCCACAAATGAATTGAGCTCATTTAAATCTTTAGATCTGTTTACAACCTTTTACTGCTTCTTTGACATTTTGATCTGGTTCAGCTTCTTTCAGTTTCTCTCTGCTAACTACAACATTTTTTGTGCTTCTTCTAACTTATTTCTGCCAATTTCAACTTGATGTGCTTCTTTCAGCTTATTTATGCAAGTTTCAGCTTTTCTAAAATTTCAGCCGATATATAGCTGTTTTATGCTAATTTAAGCTTTTTCAACTAACTCCACATTTTTTGCACTCACTTAAACTTTTTTCAGCCAATTTCAGCAAAAATGTGTTCTCGACTTCTTGTAATTTCAGCTTCTTTGCTTTTAGCTACCTTTCAGATGTTTATTGCTAATTTCACATTTTCCAGATAACTTCTACTTTTTGCGCTAATTTCTGCTTCTTTCAGTTTAAATGGGAAAACGTGTTCATTCTACTTTCTTCTGCTAATTTAAGCTTGTTCTACCTTTTCAGCTACTTTGTGAACATTTAGCTAATTTCATCTGTTTTCAGATAAATTCAAGTTTTTCTTGGCAATTTCTGCTACTTTCAGCATAATTAACTTCTTTATGATCATTTCAGCTTGTTATGCTCCTTTCCGCTTTTTCAGCTAGTTTCAACTTTTTCTTGTATTTCAGTTACTATTTAGCTGTTTTACGCAAATTTGAGCTTTTTCAGCTACATGTTTTTTAGCGGGCAGCATGGTGGCGCAACTGGTAGAGCTGCTGCCTCTCAGCGAGCAGGTCCTTGGTTCAAACCCCGGTCCAGGGGCCTTTCTGGGTGGAGTTTGCATGTTCTCTCCGTGCATGCGTGGGTTTTCTCCGGGTACTCTGGTTTCCTCCCACAGACCAAAAACATGCATGTTAGGCTGATTGGTAACTCTAAATTGTCCCTAGGTGTGAGTGAGAGAGTGAATGGTTGTTTGTCTCGTTTGTCTCCATGTGGCCCTGTGATGGACTTGCGACCCGTCCAGGGTGTACCCCGCCCCTCGCACAGTGATTGCTGGACATGGGCACCAGCGACCCCCGTGACCCAAAAATGGAATAAACGGGTCAAGATAATGGATGGATGGATGGATGGATTTATTTTTAAATGAAGCCAACAAGCAGAAACACATTAACAAAATACAGCAGCTTCCACAAGAATTAAAGAGGGAGGGAGCGGTGAGGTGCTTTTATTGGAATGTAGCTAATTACATTTATGAAACAATTTACCTTTCTGTTTACGCACAAATGGAGCTGTAGAGACTTTTAAATCTTTGCTTTAAGGTTTAACTTTTGATTTGAACAGAGCCAGCTGTGCTTTTTGTGTTTATTTTATTGTCCTTTTACTTGTTTTTACTGCATGAGTCAGCATTCACCTTATTGTTTTCTTGTTTACTGCTTTGACTTTGTGCTATTTTAGCTGCTCATGTCTCGAAACATGCAGCTCATCCAGGAGATGGGTGCTGTGAGTTGTGTTTTATTGTAACTATAGTACTGTTCAAAATGTTTAATTGTATTTCAAATGAAAAAAAATCCCATTGAAATACACAGAAAATCTCTTCAGTTTCTTTGAAAATGTTCTTTTGGAAACATTCTGGTCTTGTCTTATGCTTCTTTTAGATGTATAGCTTTTGTTTTGCTGATTTTAGCTTTTAGCTTCTAGCTAGTCTTTTGACTGTCTTAGCTAGTTTTTTTTGTTGTTGTACTTTTCTGTATTATGCAGGCGTTGGAAGTGGTGGGGCAGAGGTTAGAGAAGGTGAGAAGGTCACTTGTTTGACCCCAGACCAATAACATCAAAATGTGGGTGGGAAAGGTGAACCCTTGAGCAAGGCCCTTAACGCTCACCGTCTGCTCCCCTGGGTGCCCTACATGGCAGCCCTCTGCTCCACACAGAGGGCTGTGGTAGCTCGGCAGGAAGGGCATCCGGCGTAAAAAATACTTGCCATGTCTTTAAGTTAGTTCAGTGTGGTGACCCCTGAGGAAGGGAGCAGCCGAAAGAAAAGTAGTTTTTAGCTAGCGATTTGCTAATCTTTTGCTGCTTCCAGCAAACATTTAGCTTATTTTGTACCTTTGGATTTTAGCTAGACTATTGCTATATTTGACTTTTAGCTAGCATTAAGTTCCTTTTAAATAGCAATCTGTTTTTAGCTTTAAATTAGCATTCTGCTTCTTTTAGCCTCAACAATTCAGTTTCAGCTTTTTTAGCAAATTTCAGTAAAATAATTTAGCACTCAGAATTCAAGCTGTGTTTTCACAAAACACAAAAAGGCGGTTTCTCTTGTTAAATTTAATAAAGTTTTTTGTTGTCTTGGTATCTGGTTTGACGGTGAGTCCCTGTGATCGATAAAGACAAAACTGACCTAACTGAATATCTGCAAGTGTGAACAGCTGCATGTTTTTATTTTATTTTATTTTTCTGTAAATATCTGGTGCATTCAGGCTATTGATTTTAGTCCATCATTCTGCAGAAGCATACAGTATGTACATAAAAATATATATATTTAAATATTTTCGGACTCCATAAGGAGCAAGAAAATGAATAAATAAACTAAAGAAATGACTCTAGACTACAAATAAAGTTTGGTTAAAGGAATGAAAATAATATTTCTGTTGGTCGTTTTCAAATCGGGTGTTGTGCATCCAAAATTCTTCATCTATACTTGGTGAGTAATCTGTAATATTCAGTAATATAAAACAATCTGAGTTGCAAAATGTTCGCAGGATGTCTGAAAGATCAAATGGATTCAATGTTTTTCTGTCAAGTTCACCCAAGATGTTGCAAAAAAAACAAACAATAATAATAATTAAAAATGTTCACAATTTGTACAAACTTAAAAAAAAATTGATATAGTATTTTTAACGAGCCACTTAAAATACATGGAAATGTTCAAATTAAACGTCTGCCGTCTTAAAGAATGTCTGAAGAAGAAAAAAAAGATTTTCTTTCTGTCGAAAACAAAAGCAATTTCTTGCCGCATGAATTCTGCAAAGCTCATTTTCTGAGAAAGACTGTTCTTGTTTTTCACGGAAACACATTCAAAACACTTCCAAAGCTGTACTTTCACTTGAAAAAAAAAAGAAGAAAAAAACTTCATGAATACTTATGAAACATATTGAATATATCGTTTCCTGCAGCCTACATTTCAGATGGGATTAGTTTCATTACACTGAGCAGAAGCATCTTTAAAAATCAGTCAATAACTTTCTCCAGGTCAAAAATGACCCGGAGTTATGCATCGACTGATTCTGCACGCAGCATTACTTCTGGTATTTTACAACACACACACATTTTACATACAGTCCTAATGAAAAGAGATGAGAAAAGTACATTTTGTGGCGTTAATTACTTTTTTTTCAGTTTTAGAGCTAAAATGCTGGAAACTGACGTGCAACTAAAAGAGTAACATCGACAGAGCATGAAGCCTCATATAGTCACGTCCAGCCATCGCTAAAGATCATATTTGATATCAGGACACTTAACGAGCCGTGCAAAGCTGCTTGAACATTTGTTCCATAAATGTTGGAGTGTATCCAGTATCAGCTGTGAACTTTAACAATAATTACATTCAACTAGAGAAACTGCATTTCCTGCATACAGTGTGAAAGCTTACTGCTTAAGAACTTGTTGAAAAACAGCTTAAATTAGCTTCAATATCAGAAAAGTAGCTGAAAATGTAGAACAAGTTTATTTTAGCAGAAGAAAACACAAAGAGCACGTTTACTGAAAGAAGCAGAAATGAGCACAAAAAAGTGGAAATTATCTGAAAGAAAAGCTGAAAATTGCAACAACAACAACAAAAAAAAAAAACAGTTGAAAAGTAGCTAAAAAGTCAGAAAGAAAACTTAAATTACCAGGAGGAAGTGGAGAGAGAACATTTTAGCTGAATTGGGCTGAAAAAACGTTTAAATGAGTGCAAAAAAATGTAGAAAAAGCTAAAATTAGCATAACACAGCTAAATAGTAGCTGAAAAAACAGAAACTAGCAGAAATCAGCTGAAAGGAGCATAACAAGCTGAAATTAATAGAAATAAGTTAATTAGGCTGAAAGAAGCAGAAATGAGCACAAAGTGGAAATTATCTAAAAACAGCACAAATGCTAAAAATTAATTAATTAAAAAAAAAGTAGCTGCAAAGATAGAACAAGACAAATTTGCTGAAGAAAGCAGAAAAAACACGTTTGTCCAATTAGGCTGAAAGAAGCAGAAATGAACATGAAGAAGTGGAAATTATCTGACAAAAGCTGAAATTAGCACACAAAAAAAAACCCAGCTGAAGAGTAGCTAAAAAAGCAGAAAGAAGCTGAAGTTATCAGAAGGAAGTGGTGCAAGCACGTTTTGCTGAATTAGGCAGAAAAAGTTGAAATGAGTGCAAAAATGTGGAATTAGCTGAAAAAGCTTGAATTAGCTTAAAAACAGCTATAGAAAAATCTGAAACTTGCAGAAATAAGCTGAAAGGAGCATAACAAGCTGAAATTAGCAGAAAGATGTTAGAAGAAGCACAAAAATGCTCTAGTTAGCAGAAATAATGTAAAAGGAGCACAACACAGTTGGAATAATGGCTGAAATTAACTGAAAGTAGCTGAAAAAAGTTTAAATTTGCACAAGGAAGCTGAAAGAGAACAAAATGTGAAAGGAGCAGTAAAAGGTTGTAAACAGATCTAAAGATTTGAAGGATGTAAAATGAGCTCATTTAATTTCCTATGAGGGAAAAAGTGGCAGAAAAGGCTAAATATTTCAAAAAGCTAAAGTTGCACCAATACCAAAAGTCATGGCAGGATTGTTCTGAAAGATAAGAACGTTTTGATGTAAGATTTGTTGAAATAGCACAAAAATTGTGGAACAAGAAAGATGCAGAAATATGGAAGAAAAAAAAAGCATCACAATAGTGTGAATGCTTCATAAACATTCACACTATTATCACCACTTTATGAACTAATTCATTTGAAGTTTATTAAATGAGAGTCGTGTGGAAAGGCAGCGTGTTTGTTGCTCTGCCCTCTGTACGAGTAAGACTACATGCTGTTGGGCACCAGATAGGGTAACTGTCCAGCGACAGCTGCTTGTTCTGATCAACCGGAGCCGGAGAAACACCGAGACGGCTGTAATAAGACAAACACTTCAGCCGGCAACTGATCCAAGACAAGCGATTTGGACTTAAAAATGCCGACCCTGAAAGACAAGAGAAAAGAATATCTGACTGTGAAGGACCTGCAGAAAGTTTTGGACTCTTGTAAGCTACACCTCAATCAAATTGATGAAGTGTGGCCAAATGTATACATAGGAAATGTGTAAGTATGAGTTTCATTTATTAAGAATTACCACATTTGCTCTGCCAGTCATGTTGTACTACTGCAAAAAGTATTTGAAGTAACTCCTTCCGCATATCGACTCATTCTGGCAAAATAAATCTCTGTATGCGTCCCACACAAGTCTTGAACTTCTTTCTGTTTCTGTCTTGCCAGGGCAGTAGCCCAAAACAAGGCTGCCCTGCTGAAATTAGGTATAACTCATGTGTTAAACGCTGCTCACTCCAAGCGAGGCAGCATGGGGAACCGAAGCTTTTATGGCAACGACTTTGTGTATTTTGGCATTCCAGCCGATGACTCAACTCACTTTGATCTGGATGTTTACTTCCAGCCTGCAGCCGATTTTATTCATAAAGCGCTGAAGTCACCTGGTGGTAAGAGTTTTCCCTACTTACCAGATTTTTCATTTCACTCTGTAAAAGCCTTAATAGGGTTAACCTCTGCTCAAAGTCTCACATCGTGCTGCTCTTTCAGTGCCACCTGTCACCGCAGTGTAACAGCTTGTACTGGGGTACAAATGCATTTTCAGCTGGCAGTAATAAGAGTCTTACCTTGCAGACTTCAAGTACCGGTATATAATAGCTTCTTTGAAAGAAGCTATCAAGCAGAAGACGAGTTGGGATTAATGAGACAGTCGGCCTGTCTGCAAAGGGACCTTAAATGAACAAAGTCTTGGAAGTGTTGGCTCTATTTTTAGATCAAAACAGAAAAAGAGACAGTCCACGGTGTGAGACGGGCAGTCATGTATGATATTAATGAGGCTCTTACTAATCTTTCCCTTTTTCTTCCTTTGCTTTGTTCTTCAGGGAAGGTACTAGTGCACTGCATCATGGGAATGAGCCGCTCGTCGACCTTGGTACTGGCCTACCTCATGATCTACCACCGCCTTCCGCTCAAACAGGCGTTGCAGAAACTAATCCAGAAGAGGGCCATTTACCCCAATAGAAATTTCCTGGCTTTGCTGCTGGATCTGGATCTTCAGCTGACAAAGAAAAAGAAATCGTGCCAGATCCTGTGATCCAGAAGTGTTTACACCGCCCGGCCGCACGGCTGTGTGGTTTCTTGGAGCGATGCTGTAAAGCTGTTTGTTGACCCGGTTGTCCAAACCAAGGCACTTCTACGAAAAGTCCATCGTTACAGAGTTTGGTTCAACAACTGAGAGAATTTTGTTGAGACTCAGTTTAACATACCTGCACTTCAGAACGTTAGCATGTTGAACTAAAAAAAGAGGATTGGCATGTCGTACAGAAACAGAGCTTTACGGTCTTCAGTCTTGTGGGGATCATCTGCTGGTCTTCTCTGTAACTTTAAGCTTGTTGGGAGGTTTTGAGATGAGCTTGAGGTTCTGAAAGCTCTGGGGCATGTGTTCCTCAAGGATACTTGGAGCCTGCTCAGCTATTCCTCAATATTGATGAATTTTTCTAAATCTCCTGTTTGAAAACATCCCATAAAACATGAAACTGTCACCACCATGCAAATCAATTGGAATGCTTTTACAAGAGGGGTTCTTCATAACTTGGTATATTAGACTGAAATATGTTAAATGGAGGTCAAATTGAAGAGTCCTTGCAGTGGTTAGAATCAACGTATCGAACTTTGGCGAATCATTTTGACCTCCTTTCATTGTGTTGCGCGACACGAGGCTGATTAATTAGAGAATTCTCCAAAATCACACTGTCACTCCAATTGCACAATTGACCTTTTTATTGCTGATGCGCATGTGTAAAGTTGGGCACTACATTCATAGCTACGTATTCAAGATCAGTGGTCAGCTCTGGTCTTTTGCTCCTTTGCACCTGCTTTTTGCTGACTTTTACACACAAACGTATTTATAAATTAGTTATACAGTAGTCCCCGACTGTATTACAGTTCACTTTTTGCAGCTTCACTATATCACTTGATAACTTGCCATGGCAGAGCGCTCATCTTGTCCGTGACAGCGGGGAGGGGGGGTGGGGACACGGAGACGTGTCTGAGCTGCGCGCTGTTTGCGCCGACAGTTTGAGCCGACAGTTTGAGCATGGGGGTGGCGTTTCAGCGTGAGGGAAAAGAAAGTGTGAACATTGCCTTTAGCTTTTTAGCTAGAGCACCTGTTGCACACCGCTATCTTAGCGCTATGTCAGTGCCGGCAAATGGGGTAGGTTGGTTCAACGCACAGATTGGTTCAGTAGGCGGTGCGCTCAGTTCTGTTGACAGGGTGGGGCGTCCTGCTTGTATAATGGTAGGGAAAACACTGAAGGGTTTATAAAGCCTTAAATATTTATAAATAATAAAATATAATGCTGCTACTTCATGTATTTTCACCTACTGCGGGGTTTTTTGGAACGTAACCCCCGCTATAAGTGAGGGATCACTGTATTGGTATTTTACATTGTGTCCTCAACGTGCAGTGATGCCAGATGTCAAAATGACTGCAGAGCAGCTGAAACCTGAGGTAGACGTGAATATTTTTTTTTTACACTAAATGCATTTCAAAGAAGCAGACGTAGGCATGAATATATCTGGACCATAATGCATTGCAAAATACTGACATCAAGCATGTGCATTAAGTGTTTCCCCTAGATCAGCGCCGTTGGCGGTTTGCTCCTGGTATTATTATTTTTTGTCAGGGGGGTGGTGGATGTCACATCTGTGTTGCCCGCCTGCTAACTTAGCGCTACATTGCTAATTTTCAACGGAGGGCGGGGGTGATAGCAGAGCAGGTACGTCAGTTGCATTTTTGCTAGCTCGTTTGTATTGCGCCCCGTGCTACTTCAATACCGACAGTAGTCGACAGGGGTGGGGGAGTTTGGTAGACGTGCTCTCGGTTCCGTGGGCGGGGCAGGGCGGGGCAGGGCGGGGCAGGGCGGAGCAGCTTGTATAATGGAGGGGAAACACTGGCATTCATGTCTGTAAAGAGGTCGAAGTACTGTTATGTGCTAACAGCAACAGGAACAAAAGCATAGATAATTTAACGTCCTTAGGTATGTATTTGCAGTGAAGATGCTGGAAAACACAGGTAATATGAGAAGGGCTAACTGGACCTGTTCAATATTAGCAAATAAACTAGTTAGCAAGCTAACAGGCTACGTAGTTGATATTGTTTGTTTCTGAATACAAGCAGAAGTACCATTAAAAAGACAAAAATGGGACAAATTCATGCCATCATATCACAATTAAGACAAACAAGCTTGTTTTAATAAATTGGTTAATTTAAATAAAGAAATGTCTTAACAAAATAACAAATTATCTCAAGAAGAAAAACAAACAGCTGCTCAGATTCATGACTTTATAGCTTTTAAGCTAATAAGATTATTTTTCTTTACTTCTTTCTTACAAAAGAAAGGACCCAATTTTATTATGAATTATGTTTTGCAGAGCGTCAAACGTTGTCAAACTGTTTTGTCTCTAAAAAGAGAACCAGACTGGAACATCTTTCAGATACGTCCATGCTCAGAGAATTTTTTTGTTCGTTTTGTTTTTGAGTTGACTGCTGTGCATCAAAAAGCTTCAAGTCCTTCGGTTGTCCATGAAATCTTCTGTAACACCAACAGCTCATTTTATTTTAATCAGAACTTGTCAGCAATGATTTATACCAGTTAGGAATTTTATTGTAATTTTATAGTAGGTTAAATAAACATCATTTAGCCTTTCAAATTTAGAAAAACACCTCCAGTTTTTACGATACGGGCAGAACATTGTCTTTAGGATAGTCTAATACAGAATATAATTGTGGTTTTATTTCAGCAGAAATAATGTTTCAGCCTTTACGTCATGCAATATGAAATTTGTGTATATAATAAATGTATATTAAAGATGAAACATTTGCAATGAATTGTAAAAATTGCCTTTTTCTTTTGTGCTTTGAGCTTGTCAGAGCCGTCTCAAACTGTATTATTACCATTGTCTGATAAATAACCATTAAATGATCTTGAAATACGCAAAGGAGAGACCCCATCCTTGATCAAAAAGCTAAGTTAAAAACATTTCACTGCAGAGAGAAAAAAAAAAAGGATAAAAATTAAAAATAAAAATCCTAAAGCAAAGCACAACTGATCTAATTTTCTTGCTTTGAAAAAAAAAAGCTGTGTCCTCTCTTGCTTCCTGTACTGGCAGCTTGTTCAACCTTTAAGGAACGTAGAAGATGGTGCCAGAATTATTTTGGGATGTGATTCAGATGTTAAAATAGCAAAAAAGGGTTGCAGGGTAGATTACCAAGGAGAACGCAGACAGTTGTGCTGCCGACCTAGATGTAGCTTTGGAACCGAGAGACGATAAAAAGCAGCGATTTCAGCCGAGGGAGAGACGGTGAGTTGGAGAATATTTATCACTTAATACAGGATGTTTTTATTGTATGGTGTGGGTTTGTTTGCAAACTAAACTACCGGTAATCCAAAGAGCATTTCCTAAAGGATTATTGTGCTGTCCTTTAATCCAGATGAATCACATCTGAAAGGCCGAAAAGGAAGGTGAAATTCATAACACTACCACAAAGAGGGCCCGAGGAGGTAAAAAAAGACATTTTCATTTGCCCTCCATGTTAACTGCAGGCGCTTTCCCATAAGAAGTATCTTTAATTACACAAAAGTGGAGCAGGAAGGACAGGTTAGCCTAAGGGGGAGGCTGTGAAAGCAGAGCATATGCACCAGGGAAATCAGTTCTCTGCCCCTGACTGTGGGAGGGAGGGAAGGGCTGAATTCCTAGATCAATGAGGAGAAAGAAGAGCCTCCAGGTACGGCTCGTGTTGTATAAAGATGCACTTCACCCTGGCTTTCAGTGCTCACACACACACTCCGAGCATGAACTGGGTCATTTGAGGCTTTTCATGCATTTACTCTAAAAGTAACACACACAAAACAATCATAAGCAGAGACGCAGACAGCCATCGTGATGTGCAACCTCCATATGCCACAGCAGCTTAACAAAAGGTCACCGAAACAGATTTGGTCTCGGTGACTCATCCTGGAGGACTAAAAGCCTCCAAAACCCTGCGAGCCAAATTATATCTTCACACATGGGAAAAATGCAAATAAGAAGCTGTAACAATGAATACACATCACTTGTACATCCTCAGCCCTGAGCACAATAGCACGCATACCTAAATGGATGCTAATGTATACAGTATGTATAGTAAAAGTCTCTAAAGCTCTAAAGTCGCAGGTTAGACCTGCCAACAGGAAATAAAAAGCTGTTTACAGTCCTTGAATACTAATTTTTGGCATCTCTGGAGACAAATAAATCCACCAAGAGCTGCTGAATTGCAAATAACATAAAAAACAGAGAGGATTATGAGTTCACATTATAATTATGTGATCTTGTGCAAATGTTGAATGTACTTATTGGCAAAACTGAAGTCTATATTTAAATTATATACACCGTAGTAGGCCTAATAGGTGATAATTCTTCCAAAGACTCTACATTTGTTTTATTTCTTCATTACCTAAGAGGATGTCCTCACTTTAATTAAGTGAAATTGATGTTTTCATTAAAGTTTTCAAACATTTATAAAAGACAAGAGATGCTGCCTAAAACTGCTCACTGGTGCAAATGTTGTTTAAAACAAGTATAAAGAAAAAAAAAATTTTTTTTAAGACAACATATAGTGCCTTACATGGATATAAATGCATATATTAATTCAAGCAAAAAAAAAAAAAAAAAAATCATTTGATGTATTTAAGCTCAAAATATTTAAGCAATGCAAACGTCTTTTAAAGCAAATCACGCAAGCGCCCTGGTTGAGTTCTTCGCATATAAAATTTTAATATTAGTTGAAATTCAACATATAAAGGAAATACTTGATCATACAGCAGCAAGATGAGAGCTCCATGAATCAACGCCTCAAACAATATCCAAGAATTTAATTTTTTTTAGTCAAGTTACATTCTACTTGTTTATATAAAAAGGGACAGGAATTAAAAACTGTACAGAGACCAGCCACTGGGAGGCGCTCATCCTTTGTAGCTTCAACTTCCAGTTTCTAGTTCTGTTTCCAGTTATAATTTAGATTAATGGTTCAAACCTGAAATTATGCATCCTGGTTAATCTGATCACACGTGGACAGCACTAAAAACAGGAATGTGCGCAACTGGAATGGATCGCTTACACATGACATCATCGTTATTGATAACCCAACTGCTGGAACTGCTTGTTGTTCTGAGTCTCGTGGTAGTTTAGAGACTTAACAAGAAATGTCAATAATAGCCCCTTCAAACAAAAGCCCTCGCAGCTATAGGGTGACCCTCATCTCTTAGCCCCCAGGCCTTGTTGCCCTGCAGGCTTGTTCAGTAAACCCCATCATGCCCCTCAGCAGCCGCTGTGTTGCAAAGTTCACATTAATAACGGGTGGTGTTGGTACCGGCAGGTTGTTGGAGCAGAAGCGGAGCATCCAGACATGCCCAGAGGTCTCAGCCACCTGGCGAGCCCCGAGGTGCGAGCGGGCAGGTATGAGACCCCCTCAGCTTCAGAGCTGCACAGACTGATGTGGACAAAGAAAGGAAGCAGCAACCACCTGGATGAAGTTTATCCCAGGATCTATATTGGAGACATGTGAGAAATATTTAACTGCTCTGTCACCAAAAAAAAAAAAAAAAAAAGCAACAAAATAGCTCTATTGAATCCAACAAAGTTCAGTCAGGTCATCTGGATGGTTTCTTTGTGTTGAAAGGTTTCGTCTTTCATCCAAAGGACTTCATCAGTCCGAGGAGCCACAATAAACTCAGTCCCACAAGCACTCTAGTGGATCAACCAGTTTGATGGTGTTAAGATGGTTTCTGGGGCCCGCCCTCTCCTTCGTCAACTCCTCTGAGGCAGCCATAGCCAAAGTGGGTCATCAAAGTTCATGCTCAATAATCCAGGTAAAAATCCAGAAACCATCTTATCGCCATCAAACTGTTTGGCCCACTAAAGTAAAGTAAAGTGCTATGTGTTGTCATCATTGTATGTTCCCATACAATGGCAAAATGGGTTCTCTGCATTTAACCCATCGCACCTGAGATACACCCAGGTGGAGCAGTGGGCAGCTATGTAGGTGCCCAGGGAGCAACTGGGGATTGGGTGTCTAATCAGAGACACCACGACATGTGGGAATGGCTGGGGATTGAGCCTGGGACTTTCGGGTCCTGAGTCAGCTGCCCAGCCTCTACCCCATCTCACCCCCACCAACTCACTATGCGAGTGTGCTGCTTGTGGGACAGAGTTTGTTGTGGCTCCTCGGACTGATGAAGTCCTTTGAATGAAAGACAAAATGTTTCAGCACAAAGAAACCATCCAGAGGACCTGACTTAACTTTGTTGGATCTGTTTACCTGGATTATTGAGCACGAACTTTGATGAAACCCTGTTGAATATTTTACAAACATGACTGTGTCAAATATTTTGAACGGATGCTTGATTATCTCTCGCCGAGTCAAAAACTTGACACATTGGTAGCTGAAAATCATTACCAACACATCAAGCTCTAAAAATTACACCATTTTTTAAAAATATATTTTTCCTTGCAGGTATGCAGCAAAAAACAAAAGGACACTCCAGTCTCACCACATCACCCACGTGCTCAATGCTGCCGACGGAAAATTCAACGTCAACACGGGGCCCAGCTTCTACAGAGACACCAGCATCACGTATCAAGGAGTGGAAGCTTTCGACATGCCGTCGTTTGACTTGAGCTCCTTCTTTTATCCAGCAGCCCAGTTCATGAAAAATGCTTTAAGCTTGCCAACAGGTGAGGAGCGCTCATCGTTTTAACTTGAGGAAAACCAGACAGATAGCAGAATCATCAATTTCCATTACAGCCCCCCCCCACCCCCACCCTTGTATTGCTCATTAAAATGCAAATCAAACACTAAACATAATATCAGGATAATATCTCCCCCCTCCCACCCCATGGTAATCTTCTCATATAGGCTCAGGCCGTTGTCAGGAAAATGAGTTTTAAATGGATTGTCGTGGTAATTTGAAAGCTAGACTTTTATTGGACATGGAAATTACACAATTATGTTTGCGACCTGTGCCTGCGCGTCCCGTTATGTAAAGCGAAGTCGTATCTGACGTGACAGTAATAAGACGAGGCCTCCTCCTTCACATGCTGGCCGATCGGGGGCTCCGGTGTGTGGCGGGGGTCTGTGGTAATCCCTGGCAGAAATACACAGAAGCCAAGACAGTTCAATTACGCGCTCCTCTGCTCCCTAATCCTCAAACCCGATAAGAAACCAGGGATTAAAGTGTGCAGAAACATTTGCTGTGTTGAAAACTTTCAGTCTGGAAGTCAAAAGTACTTTTCTCTCCTGTGATGTTGATGGTTTTTAATCCTCAGAGCAGGAACAAATTGGACATTTAGAATAATGTTGGACACAATAATCCATTGATTGCCTGGTTGTAAATATAGAAAAGGAGAGTCAGAGCTCTGAAGTGATCCACTGGAAGTGTGTTTTTGTTTCTCGTGATTGGCAGGTAAGGTGTTAGTCCACTGTGCAATGGGGCTCAGCCGCTCGTCCACTCTGGTTCTGGCCTACCTGATGATCCATGAACACATGACGCTGGCAGACGCCATCAAAGCAGTCAGCGCCAACAGGAACATTTCACCAAATGAGGGATTTCTGGAGCAGCTTAGAAATTTGGACATAAAGCTGCACCGCTATTAAGCAGCTGGATCAACAAACAGAAAAATAATCCTTGTTATATTTGCCTGCTGTTGATATGTGTGTTTCAAAGTGCTAGAATGACAAAAGATATGAATGTGATTTTTTTATTTAACCTCGCAAGATAAAATCCATCTTTGTGTAAAAATTTGGCAGCACAGTGGCTCAGTGTTTAGCACTGTTGCCTCACAGCAAGAAGGTCCTGGGTTCAATTTGTCTTTCTGTGTGGAGTTTGCATGTTCTTCTCGTGCTTGCGTGGGTTTTCTCCGAGTACTCCAGTTTCCTCCCACAGATCAAAAACATGCATGTTAGGCTGCCTTCAGGCCCAGGCCTCCCTTGCAAAAGAGCTCTGTTATCTCAATGGGATTTGCCTGGTTAAATAAAAAAAGTTAATAAATAAATAAAAAATAAAAGCCTACTTTTTTTTGGATTATAAGGCACAATATCAATGAACGCGTCTGTTTTCATACATACGGCATGCCAGATTATAAGGCACATTAAGTACGGCACGCCAGATTAGTCAAACTTTATTCAACTCCAACAAAAAAGGTTGAATCATGTCATCTGGACTTCGTTTTTTTT